CAGCTGAGAGCTGGCACAGACCACTGCGTGAGATTCCAGAGAGACCTATCTGCACTGCTGCTGCCTGCAGTATCCAGAACATACGTATATAAATACACACACGCACCTACCCTTTATCCGCCTTAAAAATAGAGAAAGATGGAAATTGTTCCTGAGAGTCAGACACGACCGCATTGGCATTATGTTGCGACGCAGTATGTTTGCATATCATATTTCTTCCTTTTTTTTTTTTTTAAAAAAAAAGCACATCAGGGCCATTTAAAAAGCCTAGCAAAATTATGAAATGAAACATAGTCATTTCATTTATCGGGAGCTTTTTTCAATCAAGCTGCACCACACACTGCCAGAGCCTAATTGTTTATACAAGAGCCAAAACTGATATGACACATTCCCACTAAACTACCACACACAGTGCAGTAATTCATGCAGAGTTTAGTTATGGGAGTGCCTTTACGACTTTGATTTCAGAAACCACAAAGTTTACAAATACACTGGGTACAGAGCCCAGGCTGAAGGCAGGCAAAATGAAAGGCCTGAGTCCTACTCCATTACTCGATGGCAGTTTTAACCCATTGCAGACAGCAAAAAGACACCTCCCAAGCAAGGAAGAGTATCTTTGAGGACCATCTCTTTAATCTGTTGTTTTTTCTGCTTCCCCCTGCATTTCTGCACATCTTAAGCAGGCGGCAAACTATGTTATAGACGGAACGGTCAGTACTGTAAATTTGGCCAAGGCAGATTTCTTTTAATTCTTGGTTGACAATTTTTCTTATTTTACACCAAACTTCAAGCATGGGAGTCATATTACACTGGCAACTTTATTCCCAGAGTTAGATACACCTAAGTACCTGCCAACTCATCTAATTACCTGCCAAAATGTAAGTGTAAATTCAACATAAACACTAGTGCCATTGTGCACCATAACACAAAATGGAAAAGGAATGCACAGAAACGGCCAAATAGACAAGAGCCAATGTGGTTATTTCTTTTGAAAAGCAGAAGCACAGACAGGCCAAATCTCAAGAGATCAGGAAAATCTAGAACCGCTGACCCACTTGAGCTCAGACAACAAAAAATATTTCCTGGGCACTGCAGACACATTGGTCCCTCTCCCCATACCCTCCGCAATCACAGGAGGTGGTTGGCTGTTCTGATCAACCGCTCCTGGCTAGAGGAAAACCAGGACTAAACTGAGATTCTATCTCTTCCCTAGAAATAGCAGCCTTGTCAAGATAAGCCTTAGGAATGAACAGAGAACTCTTACAGGAACCTCCGCACATGCACCTCTGTTCAAGAGAGATGAGGATCCCTGTCATTGTAATAAACTCTCAATGTGGACGCACAAAGGCAAGCCTGTCTCACAGAGCTGCCTGGCACTTCACAACCGAGGCCAGTCTATATAATATGTTTTAACCTCTTGCAACCATCTAAGCAGAGACAATTGCCTAAGAAACTGAGGAAGGTTGAACCAGAAGATGTTTCTGGTTCAGCAACACCACCTCCTTTAGATTTCTCTGTAGCTCTGCTACTGCACTGCAACCTTAGAATCACAGAATCATAGAATGGTTCAGGTTGGAAGGGACCTTAAAGATCCTCCAGTCCCACGCCCCTGCCCCAGGCAGGGACACCTCCCACCAGCCCAGGTTGCTCCAAGCCCCGTCCAACCTGGCCTTGAACGCCTCCAGGGATGGGGCAGCCACAGCTTCTCTCGACAACCTGCGCCAGGGGATCACCACCCTCACAGGGAAAAATTTCTTCCTGATATCTAATCTAAATCTCCCCTCTTCCAGTTTAAAGCCATTTCCCCTCGTTCTATCACTACATGCCCTTGTAAAAAGTCCTTCTCCTGTAGGCCCCCTTTAGGTAGTGGAAGGCCGCAATAAGGTCTCCCCAGAGCCTTTTCTTCTCCAGGCTAAAAGAACCTTAAAAGATCCCATTTTCTCTCTCTTGATATCAAAAAAAGTATTTTATTCTTTTTTTAAACGGACTGATAAAATTTGCTTTCATCGTTTCCCTTGGTAACTTATTCCATATGTTCCCCTTTGACCACAAGGCATATCTTTTGGAATTCTCAGTTCCAACCTTTCCCAGGTTTAGATAATATCTTCCTCTCCGAGGTGACCTTCTCATTCTGCTTTAACAGCTCCTTTCAAGTTTGCAAGCTGCACTTTTCCTGGGTCCCAGCCACCCCATGCCCAGCAAAGGCACAGCACGGCTGAGAAGGACAGCACCAGTCTCTCTTTCACCAGCCTGTTCTCAACTCTCAGACCACTCCTACAGCTACTTCTACTTCCTGCACAGGTTCTGGGGCTTTGTATAACCAAGGCAGACGTAGAGAAAGCAGGGAGAAAAAAGATGCTGTTGGGGAACCTCAGCAACCACAGAAAGCAGTATCCGGCTTTACCACTCAAAGCAGATTGGTTTTGCTGCTTTGCACACATAAAATGGTGCAACACACCTCTTGCTTCCATGAAACCTCTGTTATATGACTCTTGAGGAGGATAAATGCTGCTTCAAGCAGCCAACCTGAAGAACGTGCGTGTCCTGCTTGCCTGGTGAAGGTGGTTTTCAAATGAAGGCAGAGTGGAGATGGAACTGGCTTCTTAAAATGCCAGACAAGAACAGCCTTCCTGTTCCCATCATTTCCCATCTCACCACCTAGCTTGCCATTCTCACCTTTCAGAGGACAACTCCTTTGTTTGCACAACAGGCGTATTTAGAGGTTAGAAACTTCCGCTAGGACTTCCAAAAGCACCAAGGCTGTGGTCCAAGTGGAGCAGTGGAGCATGCTTAGGTGAAGCCCTCTGGCTTTCCACAGACAGGGGAGAAACCGTTCAGTTAAGGCTGCAGCAGCAAAGATCTATTTAATCAGCAGACTGCTAGGGAGCAGAGGGCTTAAGCCATAGCAGCTCATCTCTGCAGAGCCATTCCGTGCATGGAATCCATAAACACAGTTGACGTTCCCAACACCCATTCCCAGGGATTTGTTCCTAAGGTTTGAGTTAAGCAAGACATTTCCGTATGTGAAGAGTCCCACTAGCTTCTTTCAAAATGACACGCATGCTTCTGTTACCTAATCGCTCTCTCAGTAGTTTAAGATCAGACTTGGCCTCTAAAGAGGGGAGGTAGTTAACCCATACATTAGTTCTGAGATGGACTCACACAGAACCCTTGTCCCAGCCAGTCCTGAACTGCAGCATTTGAGTCTGGGAACCACATTTTCCAATTTTGCTTTTTTTTTTCACTGTTCATCGTTTGGATTACTAAAAGATCTAGTGCTGTACCTTATTAACCATATTCTAAAACCTCCAGTGTCAACTTCAGTGTCCACCTACAACACAACCAAGCCCAGGCAAGCACTTCCATTTTAGGCGTAGAAGTACCCATGAAAGAGTTTTGTTTTTTCCAAGCCATGTGTTTTGGTGGGGAGAAGAATGACGACCAGGGGTGTGTGGGAGGGCAGACGGTTTCCAATTTTCTTCTTGCAAACATTCAGTATTCGGGGAACTGCGCAGCACCTTACAATGCCTTATGGAAGGAACACTGGTCATTTAGATTACTTTATTACATTATTACAACATTAAAAAACATTATTCATGCCCTCAAGCTGCATTCACTGAGCTCTCTCTTCCTTTTGAATGAGTCATCTATTATAGTATTATTGCTAAAATGGATGTTCAGCATTTACAGATGTGAACCGCCTCTATTTGTTTGAATTATACCACCAAAATCTTTCCCACACACTTCCCCACCTCTCCCTCCACAGGATGAAGGAAGAATTTGCTTACTGAAGAAAAAGCAGTTACTGAGCTGCAAAATTCATTTTCTCTCTCACTCACCCCACCTCCCCCCCCAAAAGAGCAATTTTTGTTTATGGGTAAGAGGAAAAAAACATCCCTAGGTGCATACCTGTTGGTGTTATACTCTAAACCCCCAACTTCCTTGCTTGCCTGCAAAAGATCAAGAATTCCTGCCGAACTTCCACTCTCTTTCTTTACTTTGGAATTGCGCCCTGGCTTTGCCTCTGTGTCAATGTGAAGCAAATCTTCATCTGACGAGTCATCGCTCTGCAAAAACAAGGAAAGGCCTCAAAAACCCCAGAAATTTGCTAAATTAGTCAACAAGAACAACGCAGTAATTCGTGCAGCCTGCTGCTCCACCAAAGACACAGGGGTAGCATTTGTAATTTGCTTTGTTAAAAAAAAAACCAAAACAAACAAAACCCCAGAACTTCATATAGAGTAAAGATCTGTTTCCTTACAGCCTGTAGGCATGGTAGGTTTTTCTTTCCCTTTCCAACCCTGGAGAACCAGCTTTGAGATGGGTTCCTGCGAATGGGATCAAACCACTGGAACAGTGATGTTTCCAGGTGCTGTGGTGCCTTCCCAGCCCCTGCTCCTGTTCTTGAGACCATGACCCGTGTAGCAAAGGAAGTGAATGTGTGGCCGTATCTCTGTCAGCCCAGATAAGTATCAGGGCACGGGTCTACATTTTGCAAGAATGTTAACACAGGAAACCCAGCCACAGGGAGAGACCCACTTCTGCCATCCCTACTGCAAGAGAACAGGAAGATCTGACAGAGGAATGGAATAGACACACATAAACAGTAGCACCTGAGGCCACTGAAGGAAGCTACCTGCATCTAACTATCTTGCTGGGGCTGGTATCTCTACGCGCTGTAGTCTAGAGTATAACAGAACAACTTTTTTCCCCTTTCCTGCCCTGCTTTCAGGCCTCTAACGTCCTGGCCCTTATTGCCTAGACTGCCAATTACTGCTCTCTCCAGGAACTGCCTCCCTCCTCAAGCTCCCACACAGTCAGACACCAGCATGTTTTGTCCTGTTCCCTGTGCACCCGACTCCAGATGCCAACTACCGACCTGCTTTTGAATATCTCTGAGCCAAACCAGGATGAAAAAGATTCCTTAGCTCTTAGGGCCAAACGTTTCAGTCACCTACAGTTCTGCGTTAACAAGCTATTTTGCTTTTTCTGACTGATTCAGACATTAAAATATGAACTTGTATTAAGCACAGTTGGGCAAGACATTTAATTTTAATGTCATTTAATGTCATTTAATTTCCAGCATTGACCTTCAATGCTAACACAGAACAAACTTACTGTGCTGTTCAGCTTCCAGAAGGTAAGCTATCAACAGGCACACCGACACTGACCCTGCCTCAAGTCAGGGGCATCCTAAAATGTCCTGCTGAGTCAAGGGCATTCTACATGGGCAGAGGGAGACTCTGCTGAGTGACAGCAAACCAAACCTTTAATTGCTACATAATACGTATTGAGGGCTTCTAGTAACGTGAGATGCCAAGTGACGTGAGTTTCAGCTGTCCGAGTTTCGGCTGTCAAACGTGAACATGGGAATGTAACAACCAGTGTTCAAAGCCCATGGAAATGAGGGGACGGACACAGGTCGGCAGCACAGCTTGGGACAGACCCACGTGGCTATCAGCAATGTAACACCAAGCCAGGTATGACAAAAAACTCCTTCTGATCCTTCCCATCCCTTCGTAGGGCTTGCCCCTGCTCTTGTGTCGTCCAACTGTCACGCTTCCCATCAGGCCTGATCAGGTACAAGGAGCTGAAGCCACAGTACCAAATCACGCTTAGTCCTTGCAATGTCTGAATGCCACCTGTTCTGGGCAGAGTGCGACTGCAGAACGAGGGAGAGGATGTGACAACAGCCTGGGACAAGGCTTTGCCACTGCCCCACATGATGTCAGAGACATACAATGGGCGCTTGCTTGTGACAGGTACAATAATAACCATACCTTGTATGATACCGCCTCCACCTTTGGCTTCTTGACAGGAGTGTGCTGCAGAGTGTCTTTTTTATCTGACAAAACTGAATTTAAAAAAAAAAAAAAGAAAAACAAAGTCATGGTTCTTTTCCCTTCAAAAGACAGCACTCCTGAGCTATAACTTCTAAAGCAATTCAAATCCACTTACATTTGACAGACAATTAAGACACGGCTTTGTTTATTATAAGTGACACAGATCTTAAAAAGACTAGTTTTGGACAATCAACATGTAAGACTGTTGTGCAGCTACAGACAAAACAGGAAATATTCTTACAGGGCAGTTCTCTTTTTGTAGTGTTTTTCTTCCTTCTGATTGGAAACTCATCAATTTTTAGTTCACCATCATCTGAGACATACTCATATTCGTCTCGTACAGGTTTTGCTTTATCTTCTTTGAAATTCTGCAGTGACCCAAACACACTGGTATTCAGCTGGGTTTTGACTCCCTTTGAACTGAAAAAAAATAAAAATTACAAATTGGGAACAATACTCTGATTGGAAAACATTTTGCAAATTGACAGAGAAGACAACAATGAGTATTGTTATACAGAAATCTCAGTCAACTCGAATACTTTCAGAGGTGCCACAGCATTTCAAATAATTTTCCAAACACGTTTTTGTACCTACAACTCATATCTCAAAATACGATGCCAACCAGAGTAGCCTTGGCTGGCCTCAAACGTGCACTATATTATTTAAAGCTGTCTCAAGGTATATGATGATATACATAATGTGCACGCAGCATGGAACTTTGGGATGCAGAGTTCATTTAACAGTTTCTTAAAAATGTACCCTGAGTAGGATCTGCACAAAAACCACTAGTAAGAACCTGAAGTGCCAAAACGTAAGACACTGCCTGAATACTGAAGACACTATTCTCAAGCAAACTACCAGCCTCAAAGTTAGGTCATTGCTGTTCTGGCCAACTCTGCTGGGTTCTAGGTAAAATCAAGTTCTAGAGCAAAGAATTTTTTGCTTAAGTGTATTTTCTACATTGACCAGAAAGGCAGATTTTCACCTCCTTGTATAAAACTGCATAAATAATGACATGACTTTTTAATCTGCTTTTTTAAACTGATGTGTATTGTCATATTTTTTACTTACCCAAGCAACTTCTTATTAGAGAAAGAGAAGGTAAATTTGTTGTCCTTATTTCCTGATAAAGGCGTCTTTTCCGATTTGTGTTCTTCTTCCATTTTTAGAAGTGAATCGGGTTTACTGTTCTGAAAGGCAAACCCAATGCAAACCAAAACAATAAATCAGTTCAATGAGTTGTTGATATTTCAGAGTCCTATGTAACCTCAGACAATCGGCTCTATATGCCGAGAAAAATATGTTCCCCCAAATAAGGTAAGGAATAGCGGATTATACTCTTCCTTAGAGTATGCGGGTTTTAGTTCAGCGACTTGTCCCCATTCAGGAAGCACTTCAGCACCAGTTTAAGCAATGCCCACCCCAAACACAATGCCAAATTTAAACATTGCTCTCTTAAATTGGTGCAGACTGATGTAAAATATAAACACACATTTTGTGAAGCAGAGCACAGGCTAAGCACACTGCTCATCGGTGTTGTGCCCGTGTGGCTCAGGACCAAATCCAGCACAGTGCTGGGAACCTCACAAACACAACTGCATTTTCTTCCCAGGCTCCGCTTGCTTCTTTCACACCTTCAGAAGAGCTTGAATTATGAATTTAATAACGTGATATCAAAGTGATTCAGTGCAAAGGAAGCCTTTGATTATTTTTGAAGCAACCCCTTAATACTTTCTTAAGCTGTACTGGCTGTGGAATTAATTGGTACATATTGATCTAATCACATTAACTGTGAATTTTTTAACACAAAAGATTTAGATGTCTCTAATGTTAATGATTCATGATTCTTTGTACTTTCCTCAAGTGAAAAAGCATGTACTTCTGTTTTGGTTTGGGGTATTTGTTTGCACTTTTGTCATTAGAAATTCACAAAGCAGGCAAAGTTCAGACAGCTATTTCTGTGACGAAGCCTAGTGTCACCTTGTTTTAAAAGGTACCTGGAGAAAAAAATGTATTTTTCTATGAATAAATTCTACCCACCCTGTGTTAGCCCTCCAGGAAGGCAAGCTTTTAATTCATGTGACATAATGCAGATTTCATTAACTCTACTTTTATGCCATCATTAGTTCTTGATTTCTCTGGAACTACTCCGGACTTAAAGTAGTCCAACTATGTTAAAGTGAGAATCACAAAAGAGAAAAATCTCACAACTCAGAGTGGTCCCACAGGCTTCAACAAAGATGAAGATGGACAATTTGGCACATGCTTTTGAAGCATCTGGCCCCCCTCCTTTATCAGTGATCACTTCATTATTTTCTGCTGAAAATTTTTTCTCTGGGAGCTGAAAAATGGTGCCTCGTACCCTCTGCTTAGGTAGAACTATGAACACTTCTCCACCCTTGACTTATCCCTACGTGGCAGAACCAGCAGCAGAATTTAACAGGAGACATTACCTTGTATTTCCATTTGGCTTCTGTTTTGCTTTTATTTTGCTCTCGAACTTCAAATTTCTCCACCTCATTCTGCTTACTAGGAGTTTCCTTATTGGGAACACTTAAAACATTCTTTGCAGCCTGGGGAAAAAGTCAGCATGTATTCTTAATGAGGATGGAGTGCTGGCATGTTACAGAAACACATTTTTTTATCGGGAATATAACGTGATAGATTTTTGAAAACTCCTCTTCCGACTCATTCTTTTTAAAACCCAAATATGAGATACCACGAAATATTGATGCTTCAGAGAAGGCAGATGACTCGCTGTATTTCTCCTGGATGTACCAACATACAAGATTAATGTAAAAATATTAAACTCCCTGCCTGTTGCTCCGTGGACAGATTTCACAAACTTCATACAAACTACTAGGAAATTCAGAAGCATTTTAGAAAGGACTTATAGGTCCTTCTTAACAAATAGTGTACGGTACGTTACTCTGTCAGTGCCTCAATGATATCCTTGCCCCTGCTGAAGTCAGCAGCAAAATTCACGTCGAATTAAAGGACATCAAAATGAAACTTGTCCTGCATGGGCAAAAATGGAAGCAAACTATTGTTTTACCTTCATTCACTCATTCTAGAGCACAATGTCAAGCAAACAAGATGCTTGAGAAATGAGGTCCTTCATCGTTCATAACTGATTATGGAAATGCACACAAGAGTGCTAATAACACTTGAAATGAGAATGTAATAGTTCAAGCGGCCCAAAAAAAGAAGCCATTTTTGCCTCAGTTTGGGCAGGAAACTGGCAGTAGTTTGCCAGACTGGGCTTGAATCAATAGGTTTCTCGAAGGTTCCATATCAAATGAATAACCAAGCAAACAGCCAAATACAAATCAAGGAAAAAGTCAGGTAAGAAAAGAGCGATAAGCGAGCATTAACAAAACTTTCATTTACTTCAGTGGAGACATGGTTTTACACTGTGTTGCTTAAATTATTTATTTTCACGAGACCTAAGGTGTGATTTTAAAATATGGTTAAAATATGACCCACCTTCCCCTTCTTTGGCGTCTCGATCTTTGTCAAAGCCTCCTTTGTGTGCGCCTCCAGCAAGTCGAGATTCGGGATGGCTGGTGGTGGACTCTCTTTTGCCTTCTTTCCTTTCTTTTTTCCTTCTCCCTTAACTTTCGGTGTTTTGGGAGGCTTAGGGGGTTTGGGTGGCTTGGGAGGTTTGGGGGGTTTGGATGGCTTGAGTTGTTTGGGGGTTTTCACAGTTTTGGGAGTCTTTTTTTTAGGGAGCTTCTCTACAGGCGGGGGCGGAGGCGTCACTTGGACGGGTGATGGCGCCTCTTCCTTCTCCACAGGACAGATCTCCTCAGCATTTGTGTTGGCACTCGTGTCTGCTTTGCTGGCTTTTGAAGCATTCTGCAGTTTAGCACAAAATGGGAAGGCATTCAAGACCCACCTGTCTCACGTTAGATATTCCCCAGCACCCTCCCTTCCTTGGGGAAATGAACCCCAGAGATCCCCCCTTTGATAAAAGGGTAACCGCATTCACAGGTCAGGCTGGCCACAGAATGAAGACCACATCACATGCCACAGCAACATTCTGCTCACCACTAATTCCCACCCCCTCTGTTGCTCCAGTGCGAGTTTGGCCTGGAGAAACTCCAGTGGCTTCGTAAGGAGCGTAACTCTCACCAGGTTGTATCATCAGGTAGGACCATTAAATGTCCACACAAACAAATGCATAAAATGAATGATGGTCTTTTGTTTAAAATGCTAACCAGCTTAAGCACAACCCATTTCCATTTAATTCAGATGTGATAAATGTAGCAGAATCACATTTCCTGCCCTCAGGAAAAATAAGCAGTAAAATAGCTGCCCAATTAAAATTAACACGGTCTGACTAATTAAAAAGGAATTATTTTCTGCTTAACTTGCCATTCTGACAATCAGAAAACTTATATACTACATCAAAGAGGATAAAAGGACAAGATAGATTTCGATTTTGAGGTCTATGGATATAGTTAGAAAAGGGGTGGAATGCAAGACAGTATCTTCTTAAAACAACCGAACTAGCTATCGCCACCTTGCACTGTCACACATCTCCATGATACCAAACTTAATGGATGATACCTCCATGAAACCTCCTTTTTTTTGACTTTTGGGGTTGATTTTTTTTTGGGGGGGAGGGGGGGTTGGTGGGGAGGGGGAGG